ATGTAAAAATTTATCGATATAAAGACAGTATGATCTCGCATCACTAGATCACTATATTATGTTTTGAAATGTTCATCACATAAAAAAAAATAATTTTTGAGGCATCGTGTTGATTAAGAAGATTTAACTGCCGGACGCGAACTAATTCTTCGACGATGGATCTAGTTTCACTTATGTTTGTATTTCTCATTAATTCAGTATGAGATTACGTATTTAGATTTATAGATCTACTGATTTAAAAAGTATTTTTATCCTAACACTTCTTTCTTTCTTTCTTTTTTTTTTTCCTTCAAAAGCTCAATTAAGAAAAATATTGTAGCTTTTGGAGGGCGGAGGTAAAAGTATAATGTTAATAAAGAATTAGAGATTAAAAAATAACCAAGTTTTTGTCACAAATAAATATTATATTAGATATTTTTCGTAATGTTTAATTTCTTTGTATATAGTTATTATAGATGTAATTTGATTGAATAACAAGGATGTAAGAATTAATAAGAATACAAATGAGTAAAATATCAAGGAGACATAAGAGAAGAGCTCAAAGAATAAAATAATGTATGAAGTATTCTTTGCGTTTTTATTTATTACAAAAGTGGTGTCGATATTACTGTCTTATTGGTAATATTATCTTAAAATTACTGTCATACGATAGATAAGCAAACATTATTTAGGAATATCTAAAAAATAGGGTCATGCGATAGATAAGCAAATATTTTTTGTGTTTTTATTTATTATAAAAGTAGTATTCATGTTGCCACCTTATTGGCAATACCATATAAAAAATATTGTCATATGATAGATAAGCAACCGTTGTTTAGGAACATCTAATTTTCGGAATTCATATAAAAAAACATAACATCTATTTGAAAGATAAAAGTAATATATAAATTAAATTGCTATTGAATATTTAATTTTTGTTGTACCTATAAACATATTTTTTTATTAAAATAAAATTTTAAGAATCATATAATAATTTTATTTTTTAAGTAAAAATTTATAAATTTTAATAAATGATATTTGTAAAACAATAAAAATAAAATAAATTTTTTAATAAGTAAACAACGCAATTTTTTTTTTTAGTAAATATAGATATAAAAAATCTAACTCGACTTAAATCTACAATTTTATGAAGAGAATTAAAAATAATAACTATCCAATTAAGAAATAATTAGTTATTTTATTATTATTATTTAAAAATAATATATCTATTAAGTAACATAAAATTCGAATATATTTTAATTTTTATAAATTTTATATGAAAATAAATTCTTCTTAGAATGTAACTTCTGTACTAGCTAAACTTATTTACAATACTTCAACGAATTTATTTATTTTTTATTATTAATTGATGTATTTTATTATTATTAACTTTTGATATTATATTAATAATAACAACAAAATATAATTAAAAAATTTTATAAAAGTGAATTATTAATTTTATATTTTTATTAATAGATTTGTATTCTATTTAAAAATACGAATTTAAATTTATTAAAAAAATAAAATTTATTATTTTATAAATAAATTATAATAAATTAATAATTATTAATTTATAATATTTGCTTTGATGACATTTTTAATTTAATTTATCAGTGCGTTATTAAGATTCTGATGATGAAGTTGAGTTAAAATTTAATAAATTTTTTAGGTAAAAAAATGTTTTTTAGTTAATGTAATTACGAGAATTAAAAATATAATCTAGTAATTTATATGAGGAAAGAAAAAGACAAAATAAGTGACCTCATTATAAATATTTAATTAAAATTATAAATGTAGAGTATCCGAGAGGCGTAAAGAGAAATCTAGCTGTAATGTTTTATTTTCTTTCTTAAAAAAAAAAAAAGAAGAAAATTGCGTGTAAAATCAGAAACAGAGGAGAGATGTGAGGAGGAAGAGGCGACGGTGAAAGAAAAAGCAGAAGGGAGTCCACCAGCGAAGAACACATTCTCTCGTGACTGCTACACTCTGTTGCTGGAGCAACGACGAACACGCAAAAAGCTTCGACACAAATCTCTGCCGACTGATCAACAAATGTAGAAACTCTCTCTCGTTGATCTCCTCCATCATTCGAGCTTCTCTCTCTCTCTCCGTTTCATTCTGCTTTTCGGTTTCGATATAAACTCCTGATTCTCGAGGGCTTGTTTGATTTCTAGTTTTTTTCTTAGAGAGTAATCATTTCCGGGTTTTTTTTTTTTTTTGTTTGGTTATTTTATCAAGCTCGTGGTTCTCCATACTCTAGTGGAATTCGATATCGATTCTTGTTTACTTGGAAGTTTACTGGATTTTAGCTGAATTGCCTCTTTTTTGCTTCATTTTTTCGGTGTTTGGTTCTGTTGGGTTGAATTTGGAGTTTGTAGTCTACCGTTTTTCATAAATAAGCTTTCAGGAGACCAGACAATTTTTTTTTTTCTTAATTTTCATTTTGGTTTTTGGTATCTCGTTTGATTGGGTGATAATTCGATACTCGGGCGTTTTAGATCTCTATATTAATAATTCTTTAAGAGATGCTTGGGATGCTTTTAAACTAAGAAGTTGCTTGCGTTCGTGTTCTTCTTTGCAGTTCCTACAACTAAATCTTCATCTCTTCTACCAAAAATTCAGTTTTGTTTTTATTTTATTTTTTTAAATCTTCATCTCTTCACCCACTAAGTTACAGCATCCTTGGGACCTCTAACTTTGATGTATTACTTACAGTTTTATATGCTTAAGACATGGCACGATGTGATTTGGTGCTTATGTGTCAAATATCAGAATTGGGTAGCAGCGAGCACTAACCTTTGAAATTGTTTTAGTGACTTGGTGGTGGAGTTTTTAACTGAATGCGGGTGCTTTCAGTGTCTCATAAGTTGTTATGATGAGGGTTAACTTGGTGTTACATCAATGTATTGATCTTCTAGACAGTCTCTTCATAAGGTCTATTTGTGGGTTAACGTCATTTTTCATGTCAAGATAATAATGCTAACGCTTGGCTTTACACAGATAAGTTTTTTCAGTCAGTAATGGCTGGTGCTATTTCAATATAGTTGGATCTATAGAGACATTCATCATGATATTATTCTATAGCTTCTATTCTGTTTAGTTTCTTCTCATGCCTCAATGAAGCATTAACGTTCTTCTCCCTTCCACACCAGGTCCTCTGGAACGGAGAGAGTTAGGCATCTTATTCTCTCTTGCACGTGGTATTAGTCCGTTATTAGTGCTGAGGCTTGGATTATGATAACAACACTGAGCACTTTTCTCCTAAGGAAACAGTGGTTTTTAAGCTGTCAATTTTGTACCATAATACTGGCTCTTTGCTGTATATTTTATTAAAGTCTCAAGGGGGAAATTGGATTCATGCAATTGATTAAGGTTACATGTCAAAGTGAGATGGTGCATAGTTTCCAGTAAAGAGCAAGTTCATTTGATGTGATGGGTAAAGAGAATTTATCACAAACAATTAATAGTGGAATAAGTAATGATGGTGGTTCACCTGTTGAGAGTGAAAATTTTGGGATGTATTCACAACACAGTCTAGACAAAGAGTCTGGGCTGGAGACTTGTCGAGTATGCCAATGTGCTGAATCTGACAAAAAGGGAGATACTGCATTGGGATTTTTGGGCATCACTCCACCAGTTCAAGAAGCACGTAAAAGCAATGGAGGAGTAAAGCCTGATGGCAAGGAAGGCCTGAAAGATATTGACAGTGATTCCCTTGCCAAAAATAATGGAAGAGAATCTGGGTTTGTTGAATTCATAAGCCCAGAAGGGGAGGTTTTCATTTGTGATACTGATTTAGAAATGGGCTCATGTCACCATTATGATGCATTGATTGAGCTTGGCTGTTCTTGCAAAAATGACCTTGCACTAGTGCACTATGCTTGTGCACTCAAATGGTTTATTAATCATGGTTCCACTGTTTGTGAAATCTGTGGACAGGTTGCTAAAAATATCAGGACTTCTGACTTAAAAAAAATTGTGGTTTCATTGAAGGATTATGAAGCATTAAGGGAAAGGACTGCCAGTGGGGATCCCAATCCTTCACAGGTGCATGCAAATTCAGGTGTGGATCCTGATGCAATTGCGGCTATTCGAAGACAAAGACTGAGTGAAATTTCATTGTGGTTTTGTCCGCACAACAATAACAGTAATTATCACAATACTTCTGCTACACTATCACAGGTTGCTTCTGAACAAACTTTGAGTACTGCTAGGGAAGATGCTATCCCTGTTGAAAACCCTGCGACCAAATGGGCTGTTGAAGGTACTGGAATTTTGCTTGCTACAGGTCTGCTTACTGTTACTCTGGCATGGCTCATTGCTCCTCGTGTTGGAAAGGTATGCTGGTATTGGTCTTATCATGAAGATATCGGTAGATATAAACTGTTGCTTTATTTCTCTTTGCTTATGTGAAATGTAATTTTTGCTATCAGTATCTTATTCGCATGCAGAATATCTAACTGTTTGGTCAGAAAATGAGAAGTTAAAGTAATGAAATTGGAATGAAAATGACAAGTGATGATTATCAACAGAAAAGAGTCCCTCAAAAAGTCTGGATAACTCAAATGAACATTTCCTATCTATTATTTCTACCTTTCTGCATTACCATAATGACTAATGGACTGTGACTGGTTTTGGCTTCTATATGTGGTAAGACCTGTAATTTCTTTCACGCGAGTTGCATTGCCTATCATGTAAAGGGATTAGGTGCAATTTGTATTGAAGTGTTTCTTTTGGGGTTCTCTCTATTCTCTCTTTTTTGTCATTCTTATATATATATATATATATATATATATATGTTGCGGCTGAGGAGCTAGATAAACCAAGATAACTTTTTGGGATTGTTGGGGGGAGGGGCACCTTAATCCCCCCTGATATACGAATTGGCTCTACATAAGATAAATGTGAAGGCAAACTAGTCTGAGATCTGCCTACAGAAAATTTACTACCATTAGTTTCTTGAACTTCAGAAGAGATGTCCGATGCATAAGCTTCTTGTTTGAATTCCTCACTTTTACAGTAAGCTCCCAGATATGCACAATGCTCCTGCACAAGGGATATCTGTGGGGTTGCAGGCAGTAAGTGGCCTTCAGTACTAACAACGTACCTGTTCATGGAAAAGTTTCCAACTCAGTGCTAGATCCTAGATATAACAGAAGGACAGTTCACAGAACTTTTGTATTATTTCAGTACTTGCGAAGCATTACCAAATAACAGTTCTTGCTTATCAAATAGAAAACTGAAATATACTACACACAGAATAAAACATCCGAAGCCCTTACCTGTATGGCCCATTTTCACCAAGGTTATCTGGATCCACA